ATTTTGATTGTCTCTATTATAGAATATCCTTTACAAATTTGAGCAATAAATTTATTCACGTCAATAATGCCACGCCCACAATCTCCCATTGTGTTCGTGGCATCATTAGCGTCATGATATTATTGCTTAAATTTGTGAATGGTGTTCTATAATAGTGATTGTCAAAATTAGCATCGTTAACGAGGTCCTTTACTATTCTTCTATCATGCAACACTGCAAAAAAACTAATTGTTCATCGTCATCCACGTTGACTGTCTTTATTATAGTCTAGAACATCCTTAAACAACATTGCTTTTCCGGTTTGTTTATTAGTTTCAAATTACGGAGAATAACACGAAGGATGAATCGGTTACGCTCGAATAAATGAAAACCAAGACAGGAACGATGAAGCCACTAAAACTTTATCAGTGCTGATGTCACTAGGCGTTTTCGAAGAGGATGATAAGCTTATTTTCCAGGGCTTGAGCCGCTCAAGCCCTGCAATATAAGCTTATCGTCCTCTTTGAAAGCGTCTAGTGACATCAGAACTGAGAGATTCGAATGGCTTCCTCCTTCGTGTTCAGGTTTCCATTTATTCGCATGATAATTGATTCATCCCTCATGTTATTCTCTGTAATTTGATACTGATAAGCAATCCAAAAAAAAATGTTGATTCCAACTCTCTTATACGCGTACAATTGAGCAATAATATTTTAGACGTTTTGTAACAGAACTACGTGGACTTTGATTCCCAATATGAGGGATACGTAGGCACCATAATTGACTATATCCTGGGATATTTATTAGATGTCAATTAAGTTCAAGTCCATTTTTGACGTACAATAAAAGTACAAATTTTTTTCACAAATCCCCGGAACTACTAGATAGTGGTATCAAAGTAATGTGAAGTGCTGACAACTCGATTGCGAGCTTAGCATTGCATTATTTTGCAATCATTTCGTCGAAATTGAGTTAAAAATCAAATGATAAGTAAGTATATGTAAGCGTTCTGTTGTATGTGGTATTGCAGACGAAATTAAAGTTCAAATCATAATACATAATAAAGAATATTGACATGGTATCATTGTCCGAAATGAAGTTGATGTTCAAACATTAGCGACATGTACGACAGTCATGTCGCGTCAATAGAACACATATATATACTTACTTATCATCTGAATCCTAACTCAATTTCGACGAAATGATTGCAAAATAACGTAATGTTAAGCTCGCTTTCGAGTCGTCAGCACTTCATATTAATTTGGTACCACTATCTAGTAGTTCCAGTAGTCCTTACCTGTTCATCTATCATGCGTAATTGATGTTATTGCTATAAGGATACGTAGTCACCTTAATTGACATATATTCTCAATATTTAGTAAATGTCAATTAAGCTCAAGTTCATATTTGACGTACAATAAAAGTACAATTTTTTTCACAAATCACTAGGACTAGTGGATATTGGTATCAAACTATGTGAAGTGTTGACGACTCAATTGTGGACTTACCATTGCGCTATTTTGCAATCATTTCGTCGAAATTGAGTTAGAATTCATATGTTAAGTAAGTATGTATAAGTGTTTTGTTGTTTGTGGTATTGCAGGCAAAATTTAAAGTTCAAATTATAATACATAATGAAGAATATTGGCATGGTATATTGTCCGAAATGAAGTTGATGTTCAAACATTAACGACATGTACGACATTGATGTCACGTGGATAGTATTTATTATGTATTATGATTTGAATGATAAATTACGGCCGCAATACCACAAACGATAGAACACATATAGGTACTTACTTATCATCTGAATCCTAACTCAATTCCAACGAAATGATTGTAAAATAACGCAATGGTAAGCCCGCTTTGGAGTCGTCAGCACTTCACAATAGTTTGATACCAATACCCACTAGTCCTAGTGATTTCTGAAAAAAAAATTGTCATGAACTTAAAAAACAAATTTCTAATAGAAAACAAATGCCATATAAATCAAATGTCTAATATTTGAGATATCATGACCTTCAAGTTCAAAAATCAAATGACGTTGATGAAACTCAACATACTGATAAATTAACTATATTCGGACTAAGTCTTCGTAAAAACGATCAACTATTAACACAAACTCGTTTGTATCCATTTCCAGCATTGTAGAACATCATCAATACTGTTTGTTTTGAGAAAGTCATAGAAGAGTAGGTGAGTGATAATGTGTCATTTTGGAACCACACGGTGCCGAATTATATTGATTTGGCGGAAAGGTATCTCCGGTTTCAGTAACCTTGGTCGGTCGAAGGCATCCTCTTGAGAACCCGTACACCGACACAGGCTGCGGAAAGCAGAGATACCTCTTCGCCAAATCGATGTAATCCGGCACCGTTTCGTCCCAAGATATCACCCTATCATTTAACTCCTCTTCTATGACTTTAAGAAAACAAACAGTCTTCATGGAGTTTTAAAATGCGGGAAATGAATACAAACGGGTTTGTGTTAATAGTTCGAGTTCTTGCTCGATTTATAAATACGTATTTTCATTCTATTTTAAATTTGAAGTAAAAATAAATATATAAAAAAAAAACCCCGTGAACTGCCGGAATTGGCGGGCCTGTGAACTGGCGGTACAGGCCGGTTCATCAAACCGGCCCTTAGGGTGTGGCCGGGCCGGGCACGGTCCAAGCAGAGCAGGAGCCGAGTCGGGCCGGACTGGGAACCGGCACCTGGCCACGTCTACTATTAGCTAGGAAAGAGACCAATAATTAATAATTTGTACGTACAATTAGATAAAATAAAAAAAAAAAAAAA